CCCCCGTGTCCCGGTCCCCGCTGTCGCTCCGGTGCCGCGTGTGCGGAAGCGGCGCGGGCGGTGACGCGCGGGCGGGAGGCGGAAGCGGCGCGGGGCGATCGCGGCGGGGCCGGGCCGGGGCCGCGGGGCCATGACCGAGTACAAGCTGGTCGTGGTGGGCGCGGGCGGCGTCGGCAAGAGCGCGCTGACCATCCAGCTCATCCAGAACCACTTCGTGGACGAGTACGACCCCACCATCGAGGTGCGGCGGGGCCGGGCCGGGGGGCGGGACCCGCTGCGGGAGCGGAGCGGGGGGTGAGAAATGCTGGGAAAACTCTTCCCGAGGTCCCCGCCCGTGCCCCGGCGGCCGTGGGGTCCCTTCGGCCCAGCCCAAGCCAGCCCGGGGTTCTGGGGGCGATTCCTCCCCCGTTCTGCCTCGGGCTTCCTAAAGCAGCCAAAGGCAACCAAAAAAAAAGCCACCGCTGGTCTGTGTAGGGCGGAGATCCCTGGCACGGTGATGGTGTTTATAATACCCTTTTTTTTTCCTCCCTGTCTTATTAATTGAGGAATTTCTTTAAAACAACAGGACTTGGCTGTTTTGTAACAAAGGTTGGGAGGGATTAGAGTAACATTTAAAATCGGATGGTTCGAGTAACAATTAAAATGGGATGGTTTGAGTAACGTTTAAAATGGGATAGTTTCAGGTACTGGTAGTTTTTAATTAGAGAGAGGCAAGAATCCCAGAATCCCAGAATGGTTTGAGTTGGAAGGGACATTAAAGCTTGTTTTTTTCCACCCCCTGTCACAGGCAGGGACACCTTCCACCAGCCCAGGTTGCTCCAAGCCCTGTCCAACCTGGCCTTGGACACTTCCAGGGACGGGGAAGCCACAGCCTCCCCTGGAGGAGCTGGAAAAGCTCCTCTCTCCCTCGTACCCATCTTTTTATTAACACTTTTGTTTTTCACTCGCAATGCCCGAGGTGGGAAGCAGCAGTGCCGTGTTTTTGATGGGCAGTGCCCCTGTTTGTCCTGCAGGACTCGTACCGTAAGCAGGTGGTGATCGACGGCGAGACGTGTCTGCTGGACATCCTGGACACGGCGGGGCAGGAGGAGTACAGTGCCATGAGGGACCAGTACATGAGGACTGGGGAGGGATTCCTCTGTGTCTTTGCCATCAACAACAGCAAATCCTTCGCTGATATCAACCTTTACAGGTACGGGCTGGGGAGGGAACACTGGGAAAGGCACCAGGTCCATTGGTTGAAGTGAAGCGGGGAAGTGACTCAGTGAAGACTAAATAACAGGCAAATATTAAATCTTCCACTTCTGTCAGGAAGTTTTTCAAGTGTTTAGTGCCGATACATGGAATCACAGGCAGGTTGGGACATTAAAACTCATCTCATCCCACCCCCTGCCATGGGCAGGGACACCTTCCACCAGCCCAGGTTGCTCCAAGCCCTGTCCAACCTGGCCTTGGACACTTCCAGGGATGGGGCAGCCACAGCTTCTCTGGGCAACCTGTGCCAGGGCCTCCTCACCATCTTTAGTCAGTTGGAATGGCACAGTTTTGGGGGTTGTTGTGTTAATCATTAATCATATCATCAATCAATACAAATGTCTCCACAGGGTGTCAGAGGATGGTGCCAGACTTTTTCCAGTGGTGCCCAGTGACGGGACAAGGAGCAGTGGCCATAAACTAAAACACAAGAAGTTCCACCTCAACATGAGGAAGGACTTCTTTACACTGAGGGTGGCAGAGCACTGGAGCAGCTGCCCAGGGAGGGCGTGGAGATCCCTGTCTGGAGACATTCCAGACCCACCTGGACAGTTCCTGCTCCAGGTGACCCTGCCTTGGCAGGGGGGTTGGACTGGATGATCTCCAGAGGTCCCTTCCAACCTCAGCAATTCTGTGATTCAGTGAATCAGATGATATTGAGAGAGTACAGAACATCATCTCTAAGAAAATGGGTGAGAAAAACAGAGTTGGACTAGAAAATGAAGTGTACCTGGTTATTGGCCATCCTGCTGTAGGTTGAACCCCTGAGGTCCTGCCCAGCTTTAACATATATTTTTGTAGCACAAGGTGGTTTGAACACCGAACTAAACCAGTTTTTGTATTTAGAAAATAGTTCCTAACTTTTCTTTTAAATTTGTCTTCCTAAAGAGAACAGATCAAGAGAGTGAAAGACTCGGATGACGTGCCCATGGTGCTTGTTGGGAACAAGTGTGACCTGCCCACGAGAACAGTAGACACAAAACAGGCTCAAGAATTAGCAAAAAGCTACGGAATCCCCTTCATAGAGACCTCTGCAAAAACGAGACAGGTGAGGTGCTGCCCTGGGACCTGACTCCTCCCTGCTGTGAAACGCTGGCTGCTCTGACATTTCCCCCTGTGCTTGGGCCTTACCTACAGGAGAAGCATTTTTTTTTACAGTTTTTAGCTTTCGTTTCTCAGCTTGAGAGAGTTTTGTGTTTATCACTGGGCAGGGCCAGTACAGGAATCACTTCAGACTTGTCCTGACTCCCTGTTCAGTGTGTCATGGCTGGAAGAAGAAGAAGAGCAGAGCTTCACCTGCTCTCACTGCAGTTCATCATCCCAGACCTGTTCAGTTTTCTTGGCTTCTTAATGAAAGCCAATTACAAGATTATCTTTACAGACAGAATTCCCCCAGACTGGACTAATGGGCTTCTCCAGAGCTGCCCTGAACACGTGGCTCTGCCCAGTCTGCAGCAGGAGGGATGAACCAGTAAAGGTGCAGTTATTAAGCAGCAGCCAGAAAATTCTAAGGAATTAAATTCCAGGAATTCTAAAATGGAGGTGATTAGGCAAGAAGTAGCTTGTTTCCTGCATGGAACCTCCTTACAGTTTCAGTTTTCTGTGTTTCTTTTAAGGGCTGTTGCCCCAGGGAGAGTCAGGAGTGTGAGGGGAGAGTTTGGGACATGGAAGTTTTATCGACTTACGAGCCCTGGGATAAGCTGGGTGCTGCTCTTCCTGTAGAATTGTGTCTTTCAAATGCATTAAGGGCTCCTGGGGTGGAAAGATCAGTGATTTCAGAAGCTCCAGGAAAGAAAATGCTTGACCTTCCCTTTGCCTCCAGGGCGTGGAAGATGCTTTTTACACACTGGTGAGGGAGATCCGGCAGTACCGGATGAAGAAGCTCAACAGCAGCGAGGATGGGAACCAAGGCTGCATGGGATTGTCCTGTGTTGTGATGTGAAAAGGTGAGCTGCCACTTCAGTTTTCCACTGGCTTCTTGTCTTTTTGCCTTCCAGTGATTGATAAAAGCAGCTTAGAAACGCTGGTTGCCATAGGTGGGTTTTTTTCCCCTACTGTACGACCTATTGATTCCCAGAGATTTGGATCCCACAGTTAATTACTTCTCAGAAAAAAAAAAAATAAGTTCCCCTCTAAGTTGATGACAAAGCTTAAGAAAAGGAAATTTCATCCACAGCATTTTGGCTGTTGTGTGGGTGGATGGAACAAGATGATCTTTAAGGCCCCTTCCAACCCAAACCATTCCATGATTCTGTGATTTCCACTGATTTCCATGGTGTGATTCTCTGTGTCATCCCTGGCAGTGTCTCCTTCCTTTGGGAAACCAGTTGGACTCTTTGGAGGGTGTGTGGTTTCTGTGTGCACACAAGAAACACCTGAACTGGAAAGGAGTGGGCACAGTTGTGCAGTCCCCGTGTGCTGCTGATTGATTGACTCACCTGATTGATTGATTGACTCGGCTCACCTTGAGCTGAGTTCCTCTGGAATGTGCTCAGTTCCAGGATTAAAAATAAAATAAAATGGTGCAAGAAACGCAATTTGAGCTCCCAGCTGAGTGAAATTCCTTTCAGCAGTTCCCTAAAAGATGTTGCTCATCGCTGTGAACACAGACCAGTTCAGGGCTTGCACTGCTACGCTGTGGCACTGCAATCCATCCCAGAGTTGCCCAATTAGGTGCTAATTGGAGGTGCCTTTCTGTTCCAGATGCCAGGAAAATGTGGTTCAGGTGCAGCTGCTGGACGAGTCTGGATACTCCTGTGCTGCATCTCATGCTGATGCCCTGCAGTGTTTTGGTGCCAGTGGCAGACTCTGGGCACCAGTTAATTAGCACAAGGTCCTTTTCCGTGCTCCATCTGAAGAGAACATCCGTGGCATCTACCTCCCTGCTCAGCTCCCAGAGCAGCAGCATCTCTGGATGTACTGGGATTCTTTTCTCACTGTGTTACCTGGGTTTGTCCAAGAAGAAAACCAGTCACAAAAGTGAACTATAGAGACTAAATGCTGTGAAAAAGATGACACTTTACCTCTAGAAGTGCTGTGTGTCCCCTGTCTGTTGGATTCTGTGCAGTGCTGTCAGAGGAGTGGCACAGAGTGATGTCACCCGTGGTGGTGTCACCAGGAATGCCCCTGTCCCCTGTCAGATAGGTGTCTGCTCTCTGGGCAGCAAAGTGCAACATCTCCATTGTGCCAGGAGTGCCACCTGCCTGATCCCTGATTTCTGTAATAAAACCTTTCCTAATTAAGTGCCTGTTTGCTAAGAAGATTAGAAGTTGTCCCTTGGGTTGAGGAAAACCCCAAGGACTGGAATTTCTTGGGAGCTCATTGTCTTAAGCAGGCAAATGTGGTGTGGGTGATCTGTGCCTGACAGGACACTGCAGCAGGAATTTGTAGGCTGGGAGGTCCAGCAGGCACTTGTGAGACTCTTGAACAAGGCAGGGGACACACTGCACCTGTGTTTTACTTTCTTTGTGGGTGGAACAGTTTATACTCTGTATTGTTTTCCTGCAGCATTCAGATCTCTTCCAAGCTGGACCAAATCATTCGGCTGCTCGTTTTTAACATGAACTGCCAACACTTCTGGGCAGCTTCTCACTAGTTAATCTGGTAACTGGAGCTTAATTTGGACAGCTGTTCCTCAGCTCTCTGTGTAACTTGCAAATTGTTTTATTTTGAATTATTTTCTTACCACCAGACTGTAAAGAGTCTCTTCAAAATGTCTCTAGACTGTGAAATGTAGTTGGAGAGTTTCCTTGTCAGGGGGTTTTGGGTTGACTGTCACAGACTGTGGCTGCTCCATCCCTGGGAGTGTCCAAGGCCAGGTTGGACAGAGCTTGGAACAACCTGGTCTGGTGGAAGGTGTCCCTGCCCATGGCAGGGCATGGAATGAGATGATCTTTAAGGTCCCTTCCCACCCAAACCATCCTGGGATTCTGTGACAGAGAGGAGAAGGCAGTGAGCTGCCACAGAGATCTGAGCCAGCTTCTGATTGCAGCATCCTTGCAAAATGAGGAAGGAAATGAGTTCAGTGATGACTTCACAGAAGGTGTGGGACAGACTGATGGGAATTCTGGGCCTGCTCTAACTCACAGCCCCCGAGTACGAGGGCAGAGCTGCGTGAGCTCTGCGAGTTCTTCCCCCGTAACCGGGTGTCCGAGGGTGGTCACTGCTGCCAGACCTGCCAGTGTTCCTTGGAATGCTCTGTCCTTCCCTAGTTCTTGTGCTGCTGGTGCTGGATTCAGTTCCGTGGGGTCAGGCAGTGTATCCCCCAGCACAGCTGAATTCCCAGTCCCTCTGATGGAGGAGGAAGGAGCCTTCAGCCAACAGAGGGAGCGTTCGGTCAGTGCCGGCCCAGCGGGAGCAGGGAAATTGTGAGAGGCTTCATTTCAGTTTGTTGGTGTCAGTCACATCTTCATTTGGAGTTCTCAGTTTCAAGTGGAAATTAGGAATCAGTAAACAGAGAGAGAAGAATTTTTCCCTCTTAATGTTGCTTCCTTCACTGCATTTTAATTCTCTTCTTAGAATGAAGAGGATCAATCTGCCTCACGTTTTCTTTATCTCTGATAATCCTTATGAGTACTTTTTGCAATTTATTTGACTTATGTGACGCTGATAAGAATTAAACCCACGATATTTTTGCAGAAAACATTATTTTCCAGCAACGTGCACACAGGGTGGGAGAATTGTGGATACCATTGACTGTGGCTCGAGTTGAATTTGTTTGAAGATGTTTCCCAGGGAAGCTGTGGCTGCCCCATCCCTGGAAGTGTTCAAAGCCAGGTTGGAGCTACCTGAGCTAGTGGAAGGTGTCCCTGCCTGTGGCAGGGGGTGGAACTGGATGAGCTTTAAGGTCCTTTCCAACCCAAACCATTCCATGACTGGTCTCATGCTGCAGGTTAAACGTGGCAGAACTGCCATCAGTGCAGGCTCTCAGGGCCGAGAAGGTTTTGTCAAGAAAAGGTTTTTTGTGAAAGCATTCCGTGTGGCAGGAGCTGACTGTCTGCTTCCAAAGGGAGGATGTGTGACACACTGTTGTCCAGTTAATAAAATTACCCCTGGAAAATGATGATTTTGGGATACCCAGCTGGTCACGTGGAGGCAGCACTTGGGAAAGAGCAATGAGGAGTTTGCAAGAAGTTTGAAGGGTGAGATCCTGTCATCCAGGTCCTGTCTGGGTTTTGATTGTTTGGGAAATGTAGAAAGCAGGATTGTACAGAGCAGGGCTGCCTGTGGCCACGGGAAGCCTTTGGCAGGGAGCCTTTGATGTTTGAAGTCTGTTTGGTCAGGTATGGAAGAGGATTCCTTTTGGATGGAGGTTCATCATGACAATGCTCCACATTGCACAGCCCGTTCTGGTCGTCATTAAAATGTACCAGCTGTAACTCCAAAAGCAGGGAATTCTCAGAAATGTGTGGGAACTGACTGGCAAATGCATCTGCTTTCTCTTTGCTGTTCCCTTTCTCCTGGGCTCAATAAAAGGGAAGAAGCCCTGGTAAGGATAGGTCTGCATTTATGTCACCTTTGGAACCTTCACAAGGGGCTGTATCAGGTTTTAGGATGCTGCAGAGCTGACCTACACAGGTGGTTTAGCTCCAAATCCAGCAGATACTACAAAATCAGGGTGTTGCACTAGTCAGGAGTGTGAAGTAAATGGTTGTTCTTCATTTCCAGCTTTTTGTAGAGAACCCTGGGTTTGGTGTCCACAGAGAGCCCTGGGTTTGGTGACAGCTGAGAACTGTGGAAGGACAAAAACCCCAGGAACTTTTGGGGAAATTATTTAGAAGATAAGCACAGGAGGTTTTGCACAAGACAGTCCCTGGAAAAGGTGGTTTGGTAGATTTACTCTTAATGTTATTTACAACTAACAGCACAACACCATCTTAGTGCCAAGCTGATTTTACTGTCCTGACTGGGAAGAAAAACAACTTAGAGGCAAAATACTGGAAAAGGGTAAAGCTCTTGTTCAAAAATTGCAAGTGCCAATAACTGTAATAAACATTTCTGTTGCTGTGGCTGAGAACAGGAACCAGTGTAACTCTGTGGTAGTTCCTCTTTTTGTCCCCACTCCGTGGTCTTGTTCAAACAACTGCTCAGATTTAGTTCTTGTCCTTGGTAGGACTTTGGGTATTAACCAGGATGTTCAAGGTGTTATAATTTTTAGCACAGCTCAGTGACTTAGAATTGGATTTCAAGCAACCTCAGGCCCGTGGAGGAAGGAGAGCAGTGGAAGATGAATCACATTCTGACCTGCGTGTTCTCCTTTACACCCCAAACCTTGAGTGTCTGCCTGGGATTAACCTCCAGGATCGTTGGGAACTGTTGGGATCTGGACTTTTAACCCAAGGGCTAATTTGTTGTTACTTTGTTTAATTATTTGCTTTCAGTAATGCATCTCTTTTGGTTTGAATTGAAGTAAATTATTTTGCTTCTTAAATAACTTTTTTAAAGAATAAACTTTGAATTCTTTGCTTGTTTCTTTTGTGATCTGGGCACAGGAGCCACGAGTGGATTATGGAAAGTTTATCAGCAGTGCTCTGCTTTCCCTGGGGGATGAGATTTACTCCAGTTGTCACTTCTGTCCTGGGGCATGGGCAGCTGGATCACAGATGTGCCCTAGAGCATCAATTAGCAGTGAGAGTGGCCTTGAGACCTGCCACAGGCTTGGTCCAGAGTCCAGTTTTAATGACTTCAGCAATCTGCATCTTGTCGAGTCTCTGTTTGCAGTGGGGTTCCTCATAATATTTTTGCTGACTTTGTCCTTGCTGTGTCAAAAAAAGGGGGAGGGAACCTTTTTTCACTTGATATTTCAAGAGTGAAATCAGCCATGGAGTCACTGCTGTGTCCAACTCGTGCTCTCTGTTGGGCTTTTAGCTTGCTTAATTCAGTCTCCTGAAATACTCCCCCCTTGGCTTTCCTCCTGCAGTAAGGCAGATTGTGTCAGTCCACACACAAGTAAACGTGCTTTCAGAGTGTTTCTCCTCAGACATTGTGTCAAGACTTTGGAACTCGGAGTCCAACCTGGTTTTTTGTGCCAGGAATTAAGGAACAGACCCCCAGTGCCAGGGCCACACACTCCTGGCACTGTGTAGCTTCAGTAGTCACTGCCTGTCCCTAAAGGATTCAGAACACGAGTACAGGTGGGTGCTCAAATCCAAGGGTTTCTTGGCTTATTGGGAAAGTTTTCTTGCAATGTGGTTGTTCTCTGGAACAACCTGATCCTACAAACTGTTTCCCACCTGAAGGGCTGATTTTGGTTGCACCCTGAAACACAGGCTGATTCCACCAGCCCTGGAGGAATCCCTGCAGGGGAGGGAAGAACTTGCTGAAGGTTTTCTCAGTGCTGGGTGAGTTGGTCAAAGGCCCAGCACAGCCAGGAGGGCCCTGGTGAGATCCATGTTACCCCCTCTCTGTTCATACTCCTCTTCTTCAGCAATTTAAACCATTTTCTAGCAAAACCTGCCTCATGGCTTCTATTTGGACAGCTGCCCCTGTGCTATGGATGCTCTGCCAGGTGAGCTAGAGGAAGATCCTGCTAGAACAACACCCTAAAATGCCAAATTTCTGGCATGTCCAGCCATCTTCCTTTGATTTAGACCTTGGTGGAGTGAAGGCAACTAAGAGCTGAAAGTGTGAGGGGGTTAGAGCCACTCTGAAGCCCCTGGGTGTGAATCACTCGCTTTCCAGCTGAAAAAGAGTGGGAAGATGGGTTGTTTGTGCCAGCCCCTGAGTTTGCAGAGGTCATGGATCTAATTTTAGCACAGCATGCCCAAGCTTTACTCAGATTTCCACCATGATCCCACTCAAATTGACCCTGTGATTAAAATGCTAAGGATCAAGAGGAAGATGACCCTTGTACCCTAAAGGTCATTTTTGGTGTCAGATATGAATCCCAAGATCCTGATGCATCCAGGAAGGTTGGGGACAGGTGTAGTCCTTGTGGGAGAGCAAAACAAGCAGGAGCCAGTTTTTATGGACTGTGAATGAAATGGTTGGAGACTCTCAGACTCGGGGATGGGTAAGAACAAGAAGAATTCAAGAACTGAAAACTGCATCAGCATGAGAGGAGGCCAAGGTGTAACAGCAACCCAGCTTTGCCCTGTTGCTGCACCTCTGCAGGTTGGAGGGAAGGAGGGAAATCAGTTCATATTCTTGGGGAATAACTGGGAAGTGGGGATACAATTCCCTGAAATCTGGAGACTTTCTTGATTGTCACCCAGCATGTTTCAAAGTTGTGCTCATCGAAGAATGGGCACATCTCTTCCAGAGAGTTTCTGGATGCTTTGGGAATTGTCTCAGCTGGAGATGCTGTGCCAGGTCTCAGCTCACCCGACTCCACTGACCAGTTGTGCCACAAGATTCCCGTGGCAAAAAAACCCCTACAAACAAAACCCTTGGCTTGTCGTTTCCAGCTCTGTATTTTATGCAAGTAATTGTCACTTTTTCCAGCCTTCTCCTGGGACAAGGCCTTTCCATAGCTGTTCCTGCAAAGTGTGGCACAGGAAGCCCTTACCTGCACATAAAATTCCAAACAATGTTGGCTTTTCCAGGTGGTTTTTCTGTTCCCTTCAAGGCTGTGACTGAAGTCTCCCTTTATTAAATCAGAGCCAGACTGTGCTGCTGCAGCCCAGATGCTTTGCTTGATTTGTCCTATTCCAGGGCAGTTTTTCAACACCATCAAGAACTGAAGTATAAACAAACAGGAAAAGATTCTGTTTCACATCAGAACTATTTTACCCTTCTGACCCGTTCTGGTTCACCACTTCCCACCAGAATCTGGGTCAGAAGCTCAGAGTTACTCTGGCAACATGCAGGGCATGACAAATTCTGGCCTTTTTCTTCAGACAGGAGCTGTTTCCCAGCTTCAGGTGAGACCTGAAGCAGGTTTGAGGACACCCTAAAGGAGGGTACAGCCCTCAATCCCAATATGCTGGGGACAATCTGCTTAAATCAAGGCAGGAGGTACTTCCCAACCTGATGCCTGCTCTGCCAGACCCAAGCCACGTGTGTGGCTTAAGGGAGGAGTTCCTTGAACCACCTTCCTTTTGTTTGTTGGATTCACCTGGGAAGATGTGAGGACATCTGTGCTAAAATCCAGGCTTTCAGGTAGATCCCTGTCTCTGAACAGCACAGGTGAGAGCACATAGTTTGTATCTACCCACAGCCCCTGTTCCGATGGAAACACCAAAGCTCTGCCTTGGGAATTTCCTTTAAAACTTTGGTTCAGCACAGAAGGTGTCAGGTTTAGTCTCTCTTGAAAGACTGACTTCCACAGTTCACTTTAGAGAGATGCAGCTGCCCTGGGAAGCAGAAATTTGACCAGGCAACAGGTGAATCTCCATGAAATGTAAGAATGAAGCCTGACTTAGAGAAGAAAAATCATTACATTTGAGCCTTGGTTGACCTGTTTCAGTGCAAGCACTTGTGGCTGCACTTTAAATAGGTCCCCAGTTGATCTTTACTCTCCTTTTAGAGTGGGAGAGTCTGATTACAGGGAAGGGAAAGCTGTAAAATTAGTGTTGGGCTGTCACTCGGCCCCGTGTGCTCGGGGACAGTGGGGTGTTACTGAGGCTCTGCAGACTTTGCTGCAACGATGTCCCAGGGGAGAATTCCAGGTAGGTCTGAAAGCAGCGAGCCAAGGAGCCAAGGGGCAGGCTCTCAGCCCACAGCCTTGGAGATCTGGATGGTCCACAGGACCTCACTGGGGCCTTTGGGCGTTTTTCTTCCTGCTTGGAGACATTTTTCGGGATACTTGAAATAGTTTAAAGAAATAATTTAAATCTTGCTCTTGCTGGTACTGAAGAAAAATATTATCTCTCCTGCAGTGTGATGTGTCCTGTAATGACAGCACTGAATCCCTGTGGATGTGGGTCAGAGGGATTTCAGGAGCCTCTGGTCAGCTTGGCAAAGCTCAGAAGATGTGGGGAGCTGCATTCCTGAGGGCATGGGGAGCACAAACTGGGCAGCAGGAGCAGGGCCAGCCAGGCTCTGCAGAGCAGTGCAGAGGGACATGTGACAGGTGGCTGCAGAGGCCTGAGTGATATCAGCACCAAGCTGCTCTGATAAGAGCGAGTTTGGAATTGCAGGGCTGTGGTGTGACAGACAGTGTCCTCCTGTGTGAGCCTGCTGTTAAACCCTGGCCCTGCACCACCAGTGGGAGGTTGTAAACCTTCCTGAGTGTAGTTTTCATCCAGTAAAGGGATGAAAGGTCAATGGAGGCATTTCTGGGATGCTTCATTTGCAAATGAATACTTGGAATGTCAGGAGTGTGTTCCCCAGGCTGGGATTTGGGAAATGAATGATGTTGGAGCTGCAGCCTGAACTGCTGGGTCAGATGGAAAGGGCAGGAGTTGCACCCTCAAAATGTTGCTGCCACCCTGTATGACCAGGAGTGAGGATCTGTGGAAATGTAGTGCCTCAGCTGTCTGCTCCTGTTAGGAATAAATGGAGATGTGACACAGGGGGATGGAACTCTGAAATGCCCATCCATCCTGATCTCCACAAAGGAGGGCGAGTCACGGGCAAAAAATAGCCAAGCCTGGTGCTCTGAGTCACTGAAATATCTGCCTGCATGTCCAGCAGGAGAAGGCTGTCCTGCCCTCCTCCTGGTCCTGCTGCATCCCTGCACCTGGACACAGGGGTAGGGAGAGACCTCCCAGGACAGCCCAGTCTTCCCCCGTGGCTGGGTGCCTGTTAGTCTCTTGTAGTGTTGACTGAGGTGATCTGGGCTCTGGCAAATGTTTCATCTTGGACAGCTGCAGGGAAAACAGACTGTGGCAGGCAGAAGCTGTGCCAGAGCTTCAGGTTGGGGGTTTGGTTACACACTAAGGCACCACCGAGGCTCTGTTGGGAACAGGCGATGCCAAACTCACATCTTTGTGTTGCTCAAAGTGGCAGCTATTGCTCTGTTTGTTTTTTGTTTGTTTGTTTGTTTGTTTGTTTGTTTCCCAGTACCTAAAGGGGTAACAAGAAAGCTGGAGGGACTTTTCACAAGGGTATGGAGTGACAGGACAAGGGGGAATGGCTTTAAGCTGAAGGAGGGTGGGTTTAGATTAGATATACAGAAGAAATTGTTCCCTGTGAGGGTGGGGAGGCCCTGGCACAGGTTGCCCAGAGAAGCTGTGGCTGCCCCATCCCTGGAAGTGTCCAAGGCCAGGTTGGACAGGGCTTGGAGCAACCTGGGCTAGTGGAAGGTGTCCCTGCCCATGGCAGGGATGGAACAAAATGATCTTTAAGGTCCCTTTCAACCCAATCCATTCTGTGTTTCTATAATTTTTTTGTAAGTGGAAGGCTTTGGCTAAACTTGTACTTTGCTAATCCCTTTTTAATGACTGGTGAGATGACAAGGCAAAAAGGTTCAGATTTTCAAGGGCTGATCACAACAGCTTTCATTTTGTCTCTGTTTTATCTTAAACAGCAGAAGACAAACGTGAGTATTGCTGGGTTTCTCTATGCTCTGCTGTGTTACTGCCTGGACATGATCAGTGGAACCCAACAGCTGTTACATGATCATGGTGATCTTTCAGCAGCTGGAGAAATGCTATTTCCTGGCAGTGCCAGCAGTGCCCCTCGGTGTTACACGGAATGGTCCCAGCTTTCTGGCCCTTTAGTACAGGAAACTGCAATTTTTTAAATGTTGTCCTGGCACCCCTGAGTGCTGGTGAGAACCCTCTGGCCGTTCTGCTTTGGCCCTCACGTGCTGACCATGTCCTGGGTGACATGTCGATGGTGAGGTCTGTCCTTCAGCATCGATCCTCGCCGAGCTTTGTGCTGAGCTGCCAGCTGCTGGCAAAGCCTGCTCCGTTCCTGTTCCTGTGCTGCCGTGCAAACCTGTGCTTCTGGGAGACTTTTGATGCTGTTTTGTTGGCAGTGGAAGGGCTTTCAACCATCCTTCTCCTCCTCCATAAAGCCTCAGCCAACCCTGTGTCAGTGGTGACCTTGGCAGCAGGATGCACGTGGTGGGTGAGGGGGGTCCAGCCGTGGCTCCCCAGCTGGGGCTCTCCAGCTGCACTGGGATGGTGGGAGCTGAGTGCTTGGGCTGCTGGCTCTGCCCCCCCTCCATCCATACCTCTGTCTTCCTCCTGACTGGATGCCTTGTGGAGCAAGAGGGGCTTGGACTTCCTAGAGCTGTAAGGGCTCTGCCAATCTTCCCCTCTCCCCATCAGTGCATGCTCCCATAATTGCCCTTCCCAAGGATTTGCTTCTTCCTGGGCCTTTTTGCACCACTCTTGGTGCCTTTCCTGCTGTACTGGGGGTACCAAGGTATGTCTCCAGCTCACCAGGTGTGTCCCAGCCTCGTGGCAAATTTGGGAGGTCACCCCTAGTCCTTTATGGGGTGTGGGGGCCACGAGGAAACGGCAGCTGAGCACTGAGCTGCCTGCAAGGGACACCTGCCTGTTCCAGTGGCTGGGAACCAGCTGCCTGTGGGAGCCTGAGCTCTGCTCCCTCTCCTTGCAGAGATGGACGAGTCCATGCGCTCCTTCGCGGAGAAGATCTTTGCCTCCGAGGTGAAAGATGAGGAGGTCAAGGGAGAAATCTTCGATGTGGAGGAGATCGCCCCCATCTCCTGGCAGGAAATGAAGGTGCACATGATGCTGCAGGAGAGAAGTGTCACCACGGAGAAGCGGTGAGCAACAGCCAGGGATCCTGGGAAAGGAGAGGAACACGGTCTGCACACCCTTGGCCAGAGCAGGGGGGATGTAAATCAAAGCCCATGGGAAGGGGAACAGCTCATCACACCTGTGGGATTAATCCTTGCTAATCCCAAGGCATCTGTCAGGTATCCAGGGTTTCCTCTCCAAGTGTTCCCACTGTTGGACAGAAAGACACCCTGCTCCCTGGGTGTCAGGGACAGCAATGGCCTCAGAGCTGGTGGAGAGGAAGACTTGGAGACCATTCTCTGGAAAGATGAGACTCCCCAAGTCTGTGGCTACTTTGTGATCTGTGACCACTTTGTGATCTGTGGCCTCTGCTCTTGGCAGCGGCTGTTTCAGGTGCTCAGAAGGCACCAGGGAGCTGATCTGTGTTGAGCACAGTTAGAACATGGCTGTGGGAAGTGCCCCTGACCCTGCACCTGCCTGTGACCCCGGGATGGGGCTGTTTGCCTGAGGTTTTCCTCCCCGGCAGGAAGAAGGGCCATCTCCGCTTGAAGACAGTTGCGTTGGCACTGCCCTTGGTTCAGAAGTCTGTCAGCAGCCTGTCTGCCATGGATGAGGTCATCTCCACCTCCCCCCTCTACCAGAATGTGCCTGCCTTCCAGAGGGTCCAGATCAGTGGGGATTATGCCTCTGGGGTAGGTACTTCCATGGCTGTTCCCCTCCCCTGCTGGCCACACACCTCTGGTCCCTGCCTGTCCCTCAGCAGTGCCCAGTGTCACAGGAGTCTGTGCCAGCTGCAGTGTCTCCCAGGACAGTCTGTGCCTCACAAGCCTCTGGTGATGCCCTGCTGCATTCCTGGGGGATCCATAGCTGAATTCTTTGGCAGGAGTCTGTGGGTTGCTCCATGGTTCCTATGGGATTCTCCAGGGAGGATGTGGCGGAGCAGGCTGTGCTCATTCTGTCACATCCTCTCTGCTTGCACACAGCTGTGTCTGTCCAGGATCTGTGCATATCCCAGAATCCCAGAATGGCTGAGGGAGGTCATGCATTCCAAGTCCTCTGCACAGGCAGGGTCACCTAGAGCCAGTTGACCACGACTGTTATCACCTCCTATGCTAATCCCTCCTCCTTCTCCTGAGCCTCCTATTACATCTGTGCTGCCCCTGGGATCGTGCTGGTGGATCCAAGCTCAGCTTGGAGCTGCACAGCACAAGAGCAATTGGGGAATCTGAAAATCCCTCCTTGTTCAGGCACGTTCCCCCTGCTGTGACTGTCCTAGTGGTGTTTTCTCACCCTGCTCCACTCCTTTGAGCCACTTCTGACTGCCCAAAACACTTGTCAGAGCAGTAAATCAAAAACTGTCCTGGCCACTGGTCGGTGTTTCATGTTGTTCCTGCTTCAGTTTCAGCCTGGGCTCCAAAAATAGCTTTTAGTGTTTTGCCCCAGCCTGACCATTTCAGGGCCATCTACAGATTACAGTGAGGAACGTAAGAGGGGGTGGCATTGGAATTCACTGATTCTGGCACCAGGAGCTTCCCTTTGCCATATCTGGGACTCCGCCTATCACCCCTGCCTTGCCCTGCCCAGGCAGAGCAGCGGGAGGGAGGGGATGATTGATATGATTATCATATGATTATGATTATGATTATGGTTATGATATGGTATGACAAGAAAGCTAGAGAAGAACCTTTTACAAGAGCATGCAGTGACAGGACAAGGGGGAATGACTTCAAACTAACAGAGAGTAGGTTTAGATTGAATATTGGGAAGAAATTCCTCCCCCTGAGGGTGGTGAGGCCCTGGCACAGGTTGCTCATAGAAGCTGTGGCTGCTCCATCCCTGGAAGTGTCCAAGGTCAGATTGGATGGGGCTTGGAACAACCTGGGATAGTGGAAGATGTCCCTGCTCATGGCAGGGGGTTGGAACTGGATGATCTTTAAGGTCCCTTCCAACCCAGGCCAGTCTATGATTCTGTGATATTTATCTCACTGTGACCAGACGTCCCAGTTAGAGGGGCTGGGACCAGTTTATCACTATGTGGGTATAACCAAAACTGTGTATTCTACACCTTCTCTGTCATTTCTGATGGACTGATGGATCGTTTGCAGCAGGCAGCAGCTGCCCAGGGCACACTGGCACCTCAGGCTACAAGCTGGGTGTTAAAGAGCCCTGCCGGGCAGGGGAGTGTTCTTTTGTTTTCACACCGAGGACTCAGCTGAGATAACTCCCCTCTGGAAAGGCATTAACACCTTCACACCCAGCCTGAGGGGTCATCTCTGCTAATGGGCCACCTTGGACTGGCATAATGGGCAGCTGCAACCACCTAGACCACGAAAGATTCCAAAAATATCCCATGGCTCACAGAGTTCAATCACCCATCGTGAAGCTCCCCGCCCTGGGGGAGGTACTGGGCATTCCCACCTGAACTTGAGCATATATTATCTACGGATTTTGGGACTTCTGGTGTCATTTCTGGGATCCAGAGGAGGACCAGAACTTTAACAGAACTGTGACCATCATTGAGGTTTCCTTTCCTTTCACTTTGCCCCCGGGGGCCCACGTGGTGCTCAACACAGGGCTGATGAACACTGTTCTGTTCTTATCCCAGGGTGCTGGGTTATTCATCTGTTTTTGTGGGTTAAAAACAGTTTTTCTCCGTATCACTGCATTTATTGTAATCCTTTTTAGTAAATTGTACCTCTGACTTGTAATCTCTCTTGAGCTGGGTTCATTTCTCCCACCGGTTTACTTTTAAACCAGCACACCAAAATTGTTCTCTCTCCATCTGGGTTCACCAGGGTGTCTCTCTTGGACATCTGAGTTCCAGTTGTGTGTTTGCCTTCAGCAACAACCCCCTTGCAGGTGACAGTGGAAGATTTTGAGGTTGTCTGCAGAGGTTTGTACCGTGCCCTGTGCATCCGGGAGAAGAACATGCAGCGCTCTCTGCAGAGGTTCCCCAAGACCCCCTCCCAGTACCTGCGTGCCATCGAGGGCGAGGCCTGGAGGGCGAGTGACACTGGCCCAGGTACACCCAGGATCCTGGAAGGGCTTCCCCTCTGGCCTCAACATGGGGCAGGGAAGGATTGTGGAAGTGCTCCACGGGGGAGTAGCTTGCCCAGGTCTCCTCTTGGGTGTCCCAGTGGTGGGGTGTCCCTGCCCACTGCCCAGACTGAGGGAGTATGGCAGGTTTGGGGGTTGTTGGCTGGCAGCCTGTGCAATGTGGAATTCTCCTTCTGGTCCAGTGTTCAACCCACCAGTGAAGGATGGACAGGATCCCTTTGAAACTGAGAGTCTCCCCGAGGATCTGGGATACCACATCCAGATGAAGGACGGGGTAGTTTATGTCTATGCCGACAAGGCGGCAGCTGAGAGAAATGAGCCAAAGGACCTGCCCTACCCCAGCCTCGAGGACTTTGTGGATGACATGAACTTCCTCTTGGTCCTGATTGCAAAGGGGCCTGTGTAAGTGCACAACCCAACAGGTTCTGCCTCAGTGGGCAGAGGGAGGTCAGGGCAGCCCCCTCCCCTTCCTGGGAGGAGGGAGGAACCTGCTGATGACATACCTGGCTGCCCAGCTGTACTTGGCCCTTGTCAGCCCTCCAGATTGGGGTCTTAAGCAAAATCAGCATTCAGGGACTGGAGACAGGGCTGTAGATACACTCCCACCTGCCCAGCCATTCTTTGAAGCTCTGTAATAGAGGCAGGAGAAGCACCTGAGGGAAGCAGGGCTGGCCAGCATGAGCTGCTCCACCTCGGGTGAAAGCTGCAGCCCTGTGCTGAGGGGTGAGAAGCCCACTCACTGTTCTGCCCTTTGCTTTCACCAGTAAGACCTACACTCACCGGCGCCTCAGGTTCCTCTTGTCCAAGTTCCAAGTGCATGAAATGCTCAATGAGATGGAGGAGATGAAGGAGCTGAAGAACAACCCGCACCGGGACTTTTACAACTGCCGGAAGGTAAAGGGCAAGGCTTACAGCCCTGGTGACCCTGAGGAGGAGTCATCTTGGTGCCTTGCTCTCCCTGGGAACTGGATTTTAGAGTCCAGGTCCACTGGCATTGTTCCCACAAGTGGGAATGTGCTGGCTGGGCTGCTCTTGGCCTGTCGTGTTCACACCATGTGCTCCCTCGAGGGGTTTGTGGGCCTCCCTGGGATGGTACCTGAACATCCCAACTCGAAGCTGGAGATCTGTCCCTCTTGCTTCCCAGGTGGACACGCACATCCATGCTGCAGCCTGCATGAACCAGAAGCATCTGCTGCGTTTCATCAAGAAATCCTACCACGTGGACGCCGACCGCGTGGTCTACAACGCCAAGGGCAAACAGCTCACCCTGAAACAGCTCTTCCAGCAGCTCAATCTGCACCCCTACGACCTGACAGTGGATTCTCTGGATGTCCATGCTGTAAGTGGTAGGACATTTAGTGAAAAATCACTCTTGGGGCACAGTTTTTCCCTTCCCTGCACACCCACGATATATTGTGTGTGTTAATATTTGTGGCAGGGTGTCACAGCTCCTGGTTTTCCCGTTTTGGGTGGTTTGGATCAGTCCCTGCTTACTGCCACACCTGGACTGAGTGTGTGAGTGCAGGATTTGACCCTGATCCTGCCTCTTCCAGGGCCGACAGACATTCCAGCGCTTTGACAAGTTCAACGACAAGTACAACCCCGTGGGGGCCAGCGAGCTGAGAGATCTGTACCTGAAGACAGAGAACGCCATCAACGGCGAGTACTTTGCCACCATCATCAAGGTGAGGAGAGAGGGGAGGGGAAGAAGTGAAGCTTTGGTGCTGCTGTGGGTCCCCGTGCCACGGTCTGCTCCGGTTTGCAGGAGGTTGGCTCCGACCTGGAGGACGCCAAGTACCAGCACACGGAGCCTCGGCTCTCGATCTACGGGCGGTCAGAGGAGGAGTGGGCCAAGCTGGCCAGGTGGTTCAACACCCACCGGGTCTATTCCCCCAACATGAAGTGGATGATCCAAGTACCCAGGATTTAGTATGTGCTGTGGCTCTGAGGGGCCACTGTGCCTTACAGATACCTCATACCTGGGGGGGTTGTGGGGACAGTGGGCTGTGTTGTCCCGCTGGTAGCAGCTAATCCCTGTCTCTGTCCACAGTGATGTGTTCAGGTCTAAGAATTTCCTGCCCAGCTTTGGGAAAATGCTGGAAAATATCTTTGTTCCTGTGTTTGAGGCAACTGTCAATCCTCAAGCCCACAAAGAGCTGAGTGTCTTTCTACGCCACGTGAGTGTCACCTGATGATGTCGTCAGGTGTGGTGAGAACTCACAGCCCTGTTTGTGCACAAGAAATGGGGTATTGGCTGACATGGAAGATGTCATCAGTGGGTTTGTGGCTCTTCTGCAACATCCTTGGAAGTGGGTGTGTGACCAGAAGTGCAGGGAGGGCTCAGACTCCCTGAGCTGGCTGCTGTGGGGCTGTGGGAAATCCTCACCTCCTGGGGAAGGTGTGAGCTTTATTCCTGGTTACTGACAGAGCTTGGGGGGGTTGTGAGGAGCGAGGTCTGCAGCCTTGCTGGACTCTGCTCTTGAGGAGGACAGGGGTGTGGGTTCTGGTGAGCTGCAGGGGGGCAGGGTGAGCCAGCCCAGCTGGGCATGGTGAAGTGGGGAGCCTTGAGATGCACCTTTCTTGTTACCTTGCCGAGCAGATCACTGGCTTCGACAGTGTGGATGATGAATCCAAGCACAGTGGACACATGTTCAGCACCAAAAGCCCAAAGCCAGAGCAGTGGACTTCTGAGAAGAATCCATCCTACACCTACTACATCTACTACATGTACAGCAACATCCTGGTGCTGAACAACCTGCGCAGGTGAGGCCCGGATCTGCCACCATGAGGTGGCACAAGGGGCTGCCTCGTGAGTTACCTCAGCTTGTTATTGATGTGGGAGAAATGGGGGCCACCTTGCTCTGCCCCCAGTGTAGTTTGGAGCTTCATATCCCAGAGCAACCCAGAAGCTTCTCAGTAGGAAGCGTGACGGACTGGGGTGAAAATTAGGGACCGCAGAGATTAGGGATCTATTGCGTGCACAGAGGAGAAAAGAGAATGAGTGACGTGCTCCTGGTCCAGGCTGGATTCATGGGTAGGGGCAGAGCTGGGCCTGAAGTCAGGTCCAGCCCCCTAACCCTGCTGCCTGCCCTCCTTCCCTGCGCTCAGGCAGCGTGGGATGAACACGTTCCTGTTCCGCCCGCACTGCGGCGAGGCCGGGGCCATCACACACCTGCTTGCAGCCTTCATGACAGCAGATAACATCTCCCACGGCCTCAACCTCAAGAAGGTAAGCGGAGTCGGTCTGTCACGAGCAGCCCAGGCATGGCAAAGCAGCAGAATGTGTTCACAGCTGCCTCCCTGTAGCTGACAGTTGGTTGTGCCTCTGCTTTACGCTGACACGGCCTGGCTTCAGGCAGATGTTACTGCTCTGGGGCTCTCCAGGTGTGTTTGGGGATCTGGCTGAGAAACCTGTTGGATTTCGAGGGGTCAGCCTCACGGGCCTGTTGTAGGATACATCTGTTATCGTCGAGCCAGCTGCATTCTGACACCAAACAGGTTTGAGCTCCTTGTCCTCTCACGCTCCATGTGGACTCTGAAGGATGGATTGCTGGCTTGCCTGTCTCTTTCCTTGCACACGTGAGCTCTTGGTCTTAAGCTCTGCCAGGGGAGGTTTAGGTTGGATATTAGGAAGAAATTTTTTACAGAGAGAGTAATCAGACATTGGAATGGGCTGCCCAGGGAGGTGGTGGATTCACCATCCCTGGAGGTTTTTAAGATGAGACTGGATGTGGCATCAGTGCCATGGTCTGGTAACCACAGTGGTGTTGGATCAAGGGTTGAGCTTGATGATCTCGGAGGTCTTTTCCAACCTGGTTGATTCTATGACTCTGTGATTCTCTGAACTGCATTCCCTGCCTGGGGCCTGGCCTGATGTGAGGAGTGACCCCAAAGAGGTGTAAGGTGCAGTAACTTTATCCCTAACCCAGTACCTCTGCTCACCTTTGCAGAGCCCAGTGCTGCAGTATCTGTACTTCCTCGCCCAAATCCCCATTGCCATGTCCCCACTCAGCAACAACAGCCTCTTCCTGGAGTATGCCAAGAATCCGTTGCTTGACTTCCACCAGAAAGGGCTCAAGGTGTCCCTTTCTACAGATGACCCCATGCAGTTCCACTTCACCAAGGTACCGTGTGAGCGCTGGGGCTGGGAGTGTGTGGGCCTCCACTTTTTGGGAAGCCAGGGGCACCTGCCAAGGGTCCATCATATGCTGGGCCATCTGCCCCTCTACCAGGGGTGGTTCAGGTTGAACATCAGGAAAAATTTCTTCACTGAAAGAGTGGTTAAACATTGGAATGGGCTGGCAGGGGTGAGTCACCATCCCTGGAAGTGTTCAAACAAGCACTTTGTGATATTTAGTGGGCAATGGGGGTTGAAGGTTGGACTTGATCTTGGAGATCTTTTCCAAGCCCAGTGATTCAGTGGTGCTGTGAGCTGTGGGAGAGCCCATGCAGAGCTGCTGGCCCCTAATCCCACCTGTGCTGCAGGAGCCCCTCATGGAGGAATATGCCATCGCCGCCCAGGTCTTCAAGCTCAGCACCTGTGACATGTGTGAGATCGCCAGGAACAGCGTCCTGCAGTGTGGCCTGTCCCACGAGGTGGGTGCTGTCCACAAAAACTGGGATCCGTCACTAATTATTATTTATTTCAGAGCTGCACAACCCTGGGTGCTCGGTGGGATTCCACAAATCCAGCACACCAGCTATCAAAACTTTTTATACGTTTTAGCAAACAAAGGTATTAGCGTTCCTTGGTTACAAGTTACATCAGTTACCTTATTAATTAGCTTCTACAGGCTAATGATTCTCTCACTTCTCATGCTAATTAGTCCCATGCTCAGTCTTCCTCTTCTTTAGGGTTGATGCTCTGTGAGTCACTGGTTGTGATCTGCCCCTGCCAGAATGATCTTTTACCCAACTGGAGCTGATTTCAGCACAATTGCTGAGTTGGCTTTATTAGTTTCTTCCTTACCTTGGAGTTTTTCCCAAATGTCCTTGTAGCCCATAAATTCTGCATTCCCCGTGTCCACTATCACTGGTACATCCTTCTCTCCAGTCTTTAACCTCCCAGTAGGTCTGGGATGCTCAAAGCACATCCAGCCCTAAACCTTAACAAGGCAATTCTACCCACGTGTAATTTTTCTAACACCTGGACATCACTTCAGAGCTTGTTGGCTGCTGTTTCACAGGATTAAGTCCCCCTTCTCGCTGATTAGGCTTGAACGTACACAAAGATCAAACATCAATGAACGTAACTTAGGAAAATTTTACATATTCCACATTTTGTGGTGTCCGTCCTGCTGGGGTGTCCCTGCCCACGGTGATCCCTGGGGCCAGCGCCGTCCGTGGGCTCAGGGCTTCCCCCCAGCCTTTCCGAACAAGGAATTCTGAGCTTGGCACCCCTGTCTATTCCCCTGGCAGGAGAAAGTCAAATTCCTGGGCGAAAACTACCGGGAAGACGGGCCCGAAGGCAACGACATCCGGAAGACGAACGTGGCCCAGATCCGCGTGGCCTATCGCTACGAGACCTGGTGCTACGAGCTCAACCTCATCGCCGAGGGGATGAAGAACGAATAGGCAGGGGGTGGGAGCGCGGGGCCGGGGCTGTGCCGGACTCTGAGGGCACCGGGGCGGTCGCGCAGTAAAACCCGGTCTGAGAAGCGGCTCCGATCACCCTCAGGGGAGACGGGAGGGCGGGGTCAACGATTGAGTGACGGCCGCGCCAACCAATGGGAGACGGCTTCGTCATCGTGGGGGCGGGGTGAGCGCGAGGTCTCCGCTGAGTGACAGCTACTCCAGCCAATGGACGACGGCTCCGTGAGCGCCGGGCGCGTCTTGCGGGAACGGGACGGGGAGAGGTCTCTGTGATATGGGGCGGGGTTACCGCGTGAGTGACGGCCATACCAGCCAATGGTAGACGGCTGCGTGCACCCGTGGGCGGGATTGTCACATGAGTGACGGGTACTCCAGCCAATGGGCGGCGGCTCCGTGCGCGGCGGGCGCGCCGTGCGGGAGCGGTGGCGGAGCGGGCCGAGGCCGCGGTGAGACGGGCGGGGGGCGCGGGCGGGAACGGGCGCGGGCTGCGGGACCGGGGGGGTTCGGGGCTTCCCGCAGTCACTGCCGGGCTCGCGGCTGCCGGCCCCGAGGGGTCCCCGTGTCCCGGCCCGTGTCCGGCGGCGAGCGGCCGGTGCAGCATCTTCACCCTGGGCAGCGGGCGAACGGGCGGGAGGGAGCAGGTGACAGATCCAGCCACCGGCTGTCCTGGGGGAGAGCCGCCCCCTCGGCCTGGGAAGGGGAGCCCGGGGGGTTGTCTCGTCCGTACGTGCGGGGAGGGTGCCGGGGGATCCGTCCAAGCTCCTGCCGGTGGTGTCCGGGGATGGGCTCAGCCTGACACGCGGGAGGTGAACCCCGGGAATCACCTCTGAACCCCAGGAAACACATATTCGCTATGAGGGTGAGGCTCCCCGGGGATCCTGCAGCGTATTCCCGTCCTCTGGGATATCCAAAAGCCGTCCTGGAGACACCCTGCTGTCGGTGCTCCAGCCTGGGTCTCTTCCACCTCAACCACGCTGTGATTTCGCACTGAGTTTATTTAGGGCAAAGAACGTACTGCTGTGTGATTTTTTGGGGTGGCACTCGGTGTTTGTGCTGTGCTGCACTGAGCTGCTCAGGCCCGAGTGGTTGCAGAGTCCTTGGGCACAGGGTGTGGGCTGGCACGCTGGACCAGTCTCCCCTTGCCTCTCCCAGTTCACTGCTCCCTCTGTTCCAGTTGCCGTGGCTGAACACAGCCTGTCTGAGAGGGCACCGGGCTGATATGAGTGTGGTAGAGCCCAGGCAGTGGTGGGAGCAATTCTTTCACAGCCGTGACTTATATCAGCAAGTGATGGAAGAAAAGCAGAAGAGCAGTTGCAGGATAAGCAGCCCCTGGAAATGTGTATTTGGGCAGTGGTGGCTGTGGTTTCTGCTCTGACCTAGAGAGTTGAGTCCTAGTGCTGCCCGTTGCTGCCTGGCAAAGTTCTTATCTCAGTCTTCCAGTGTGGATGTGACTCACTCTCTGCAGCTCTGGAACGCGTTATCTAGATGATGTCTGAGAGGTTTTATGGTGTTACCTTGCTCTGCACCCTCTGAGCCTCGGTGCTGCTGAGACTTTCCCAAAGGAATGGGTGGCTGTGGTGGCCCCACACAGCCTGTCTGGGGTGGCCCATGTAAATCCACAGGGGCTCTGTGGACCACAAAGGTGGTCTTGGCTTTATGGTGATGTCAGCCTTGGGGGAAGCTGGAATCTCACCTCTGGTGGTGGCACTAAGGAATGGCTCCAGGATAAATTGTGTTTGATTTTTAACTCCGTGCCCACCTTGGGTCTTAGTCCTTGTGTGCAGCTGCAGCATTCCTGGGATGGGAGCCAGCCCCTGGTGTAGGGGCTGAGTCAACTGCTGTTGTCAGTATTGCTGCCCTGGGCATTCAGATACTGTGAGTCAGGTTCAAACCCGACGACTGTAAAAATAGTACAGTGTGGGTTCTGTGTCCTCTGGTGTAAAAGCCTTCAGGGCTTACATGTTTAAAGGGTTCTGTTTTTGTTTTGTTTTGTTTTTTTCTTTTAGCATGGGTAAAAACTTACTTTAGAAAAAGATTGTAAGTTGAAAGATCCAGATATATCTTTCTCATCAGTACAAAAGACTTAGACCCCGTGGCAGAGGTCAGACTCAATATCTTTTTATGGTGTAATTAGGATTAGGAATCACGCTTTCTGTGTCCAGGGGCTGTGCTCTACGTGGCCATGGATCTAATGAGGCAGAACTGTTCCTCAGTGTGAGGTGCAGCAGCATGGAACGAGTTAATACCTCGTGGTCAGAGTTGCTTTGTATCAAGATGGAAATGACTAAGCACACTGCATTCCTGAAGTGTTACTTATTTTGATATAAAATCTGCTGCTTTGGTACTGCCCATGTCTGTCAGGCATCAGCATGGCAGAGTTGCTCAGAGGAGCTTCATGTTTGTTCTGGAGCTGAACAGAATGGGAGCAGCTGGGAGCTCTGGAAGGGGTCCCTGCGGTGCTGGAAGTGCCCTCATCCCTCCAGGAATGAGCTGGCAGCTTCCCTAGGCTGCAGAAGGCCAGAAACTGTCTTTTATTTGGCTACTAACACAGCAGGCTTGGTGACAAGCAGGTCTCTTGGGTGGTTTGGGACTGCACAGCTCTCATAAAAGGAAATTGCTTCAGAGCTGCACGGACTCGCCGAGTCGGTGATTTGTGTGTTCCTGTGCCATTTGTGGAGCAGGACAAGGTAAGGAGCTGTGTCAGTGCCTTTGTTCAGCTGCTGGCGTGGGCAGGGGGCTGTGGGGTTCCAGCAGCACCTGCAGTGGGTGGGCTTGACCTCAGCACTAGGCAGTGTTTTACTCTTGAAAAGCACTGGCAGCTTTCTCTCCGTGAGAATGTGGTTTCAGGAAACGGAATTGTCTTGAGACTTTGCATGGAAAATGTGTAATGTGCTCTCTGGCATTCAGGACTGGAAAAAGAGTCAGGGCTACCTGTCATGTGCTGTGAACGTGCCTCATTCTTCTCCTTTGGATAAAGGCTTGGAAGCTGTCTTCATGCAGCTGGGATCAGAGAGGCAGTTAGGGAGAAATGTGTGACACTTAGTCTAGAAATTATATAATTTCCCCCCAAACTGCTGCTTTCAGTGAAATAATTCAGTATTCTTGACTACACCGACCTGCTGTAAAGTCCTGATGCAGTAAGGATGATGAATTTGGCTTCTCTGGAAATACTGGGAAGCACATGAGAGCCACTGAAGGAGTTTGGGAGGAGATCTCAGGAGAGAAGCATCACAAATCTGGTTAGTTTGTGATGGGAATGATGTGTGTCGTGCCTGATATGAGTGCTGGCTGCCTGACCCAGGTGGTCTCTGCCAGTTCTATGTCCCTGAGCTGTTTTAGCCTGTCCTGGGCTGCATCTGGGGGTGACCTTGCTTGGATCCCACCACCCCAGTGTGCTCTTTCTTCTCCAAGTATCAGTCTCTACCCTTGCCCAAGCTCACAAGAGATTAAATGCCTGGTTCTTGATACCAGCCACTGCCTTGCAAGCCTGGGCAGGTGAAGGGCTGAATTCCTCTCCCCCTTATTATGGTTATTTTGGAAAAGGCAGTTCAGGGCTGTGTCTGGCAGAGCACTGAGCAGGGGAGAAGCTTTGAGCTTGTGCTCTGCTGTCTGTGTTTAAGATGAGCCAGGAGCTGTGTGTGTCTGGTTGTATCTGGTAGTTCTGAGATCAGCGATGTGCCTTGGAAAGATTTTTCCTTTGCACTCAAAACTTTTTGGCTTTTCAGGTGAGTGAAGCTTATTGCTTCACCTTCTCAGTAATAGAACTTCTCCAGCTGGTGTGTGGAGCTGCACGGGCTGGGGAAGTAGCATTATGTGGTAGGTTTATGGTGAAGGAGAGGGAATAAACTCAGTGTGGGTCCTTTTCTGCAGATGTTCAAGGGCATGGTTGGATGGGGCTTGGAGCAACCTGGTCTAGTGGAAGGTGACCCTGTTGTGGAAGCAGAGATTTGGGCAGTGGGAGAGGGCAGGAGCATTGGGCTGACTTGGGCCAAGGCTCGATATGAGGAAGCAGGAATGTGTCTGTCTGGCTGAGGAAGCTGCAGCACAGGCAGTTTTTGTTGCACCCTCACCAACGTGAGTCATGGGAGGAAGGACACGGGGCAGGCTGGCAGAGCTGCCCTGCTTGGGCACAGCAGGGATGGACCCAGCTGGAAAGCTGTGCAGGGCTACTCAGCCTGCTCTGTGCAGTGATTTGTCCCCGTGGATGCTGGATAGCAGGAAAAGGTTCTTCCCCCAGAGGGTGGTGGGGCACTGAACAGGCTCCCCAGGGCAGTGGTCACGGCCCCAAGGCTGCCAGAGCTGGATGACACTTTCAGGCACAGGGTGGGATTTTGGGGTGTCCTGTGCAGGGCCAGGAGCTGCCCTCAATGATCCTTGTGGGTCCCTTCCAACTCAGCATATTCTGTGATTCCATGCAGATGTTTTGCCAGGCTGCTCCCGGAGGAGCTGCCAGCTGGAGGATTTGGAGAGGAATTCCCTCTCAATATTCCCTTGGGAAACAAGGGAGCTGTTGGTGCAGCATGTGGGCTTGCTGAGGGCATGGGCTGCCCATGCTCCATGAATTCTGGTCTGGAAGTGCTTAGTCCTGTGGATAAACCTGTTGCTCTGCAGTGTAGAGTCCTTCACAGCCTCTCCCTGTGCTATTCTGCATCCAGCAATCCCGAGTTTGAAGACCTGGAGGGCAGTGAAGGAGCCTGGTGTGAAGCTGCACTGGCTCAGGAGGCTGTTTCCCCCTCTCCTCACCTGGCTGACCCTGACAGAGCCTTTCCTTCTTTGCCTGTGCCTCCAGTCCTCGGGAGCGTCCTGGAGTGCTGCTGCTGCTGCAGAGTAATTGCAGTGGCACAGGAAGAGGGAAAGCTGCTTTCCTGTCTGCTAATCAGGGCTGTGCAGACAGGGATGGAGGAAGGATGGCTCTGCTCTGGCTCAGGATGTTTTGGCAACAATGCCTATTTATAGGAGAGGGCAGGGGCCCCTCGCTGCCCTGCAGGAAGGGGTCTCACAGTGGCCTGGCTACGGAAGCGTTGAGGGCAGGCTGGAATGCTGATGATGGAGCAAATATCCCCACCTCTG